AGAAGGGACATGATGTGACACTGAGCAAGTGTGTAGCCTTGGGGGAGTGTGACATCTCAGAGAGAGTTCAGGTCAGAGAGCTGGAGTAGAGTCCAACAGCCATAAACCCATGCAACAGATGGGAAGTAGAAGAGACCTCAGAAGGTAAGAGGGAGTTGCTAGGTAAAGGAAAGGTATCCCACTTAGCTGACAGAGGTGTGACCTGGAAAAGGGATGAGGTGAGACCTCTTCTAGAGAATGTTATCTGTCATCTGTCCTGAAAAGAGGGAACCTATGCTGGGTAGATCTCCCATCTTTACCCCACAAAAATATGACACTAGTTGACCATCTAAAACTTCCCCTAAATGAGGAAAGACTTAGAGAAGTAGATCCAGGAAGTCTGTGTCCCCTCTTCTTCCACTTCTCCCAGCAGGTCCTCATCTCCAAGAAGCCTTGGGAGCAATTTCTCTGTCCTACTGACCTGCTTCTGAGTTTGTTCTTAGCACCCAGCACAGAGTGGGCATCCAGAATGTGGGCTGAGAGTGAGTGGATGTGGAGGAGGGAAGGACAGCACTGAGCTGATAGGTATTGTGACTGATGGGTGACATCGCTGCCTGACTCCAGACCTTTTTGCTGTACCCCTCATGCCTATTATTACCCTGCCGTGATGACCTCCCACACAACTAGCTGCTCCTTCTTGTTCTACCCTTGTAGTGAGAGGTCCCCAAATCTGCTCAGCCGCAGAGGCTGGGAGGGTCAGGTGGGACATGCTTTGACCCAGAAGGGAAGCTCTTTAGAGACTTGAGCCTCCGCTCTCTGCCTTCCCCTTCCCTTCAGGCATTCAGCTCAGGCCGTTGGGGGCTCCTCCAGGGCTGCCTCCAGAATTCTGAGTGTGTAGGGGGAAGATTGGTTACTTTCCTAGTCCCCACCAAGCACTTGCCATTTCCTCTGGAGGGCTACTTTTCTCTCTCCCTTCCCTTCCCATTCAGAACCCCTTACAGTGGTGCCCAGGCCCCGGATCACCAGCCTGTGCTCTAGAATCTTCACCATCAATCCCCCGCCGATGAAGCCAGGCATCAGCAGGACTTGCACGCTGAATTGGTCAGTGCTCCAGGTCTTCCCATCAGTCACCAATAGGAGGGCATTTTCCACAATGCAGACTAAGGAAAGAGGTATTAGGGAGAGCCCCACACAGTGGGCACACATTGGACAAGTCAGTGAGTGAAAGTGAGTTTGAGGTGTCTGGGTTCAGAAAAAAACAAGTTGGAGCATGAGTAAAGGTCAGAGAAGAGGTGTGGTAGAGACTGGCAGGATCAAGGTGATAAGGGAGAGAGGCCCTGTGCAGGTGGTGGAGGCTTTGGGGCTGCAGTTGGTGAGGTGATGGGGGTGTGGTGATGGAACAGGTAGGGGAGCTAGTCACACACTGCAAGTTGCCTGGTATCGGTGTCTTTATCCTCTTTCCTGAACACACTCTCCATAGTCCCCCTTTTATTCTTTATCTGTTTAAAGACTTGACCAAGCCATTTCATGTCTCTAAGTCTCAATTGCCTCATCTCTATAAAGGGTAGAGTTCCTCCTGAGCTGGTTGTAAGGCTTCTATAGGACAAGGAGAGTATCCTGTAAACCAGGCAGCACAGAGGAGATGTACAGTGGCCTCATCATTTCCGTCTGTCACACAGAGAGAGTTCCTCCCAGAAAGAAATGAAAAAGGTGACAGCAGGCTTCAGTTCTCTTTTTATTTTATATTCTTTTTTTTTGTACCAGGGCTTGAACTCAGGGGCACTTAGCCACTGGGGGCACATCCCCAGCCCTTTTTTTGTATTTTTTTTTTTTTATAGATAAGGTCTCACTGAGTTGCTTAGGGCCTTGCTAAGTTGCTGAGGCTGGTTTTTAACTCATGATCCACCTGCCTCACCTCCCCAAGTGCTGGGATTACAGGTATGCACCATAGTGCCTGGTTTCATATCATATTCTTAACATTTGTTTATTGATCCCTTCTTTTCTGTTTCTCAGGGTAGACTTGAGACTGAGGCCTGTTTTGTTAGAACATTGTATCCTTTGGCTTAATGTTTGACTCAGTGATCATTGTACTCCAAGCCAGTTCCATGAAGAATACATTTTTAAAATTTATTTATTTGTGTTGCTGCTGTTGTTCAGCATACTGAGGTCAAGGAAATTCTGGGATTTTTTCCCCGCAAGGTGCTGAGGTGCTGGTGGCCTGTTTTCACCATGAGGTAGTAGGACCTGCCTGCTTGAGCAGGAAGTCAATCCAGAGGAAAGAACAGTTGAGAGACAGAGTGAGGTGTGATGATATCATTTGAATCTGCAGATCACTCTTTGGAACCTTTTTTTTTTGTTTGTTTGTTTTGGTATTAGGGATTGAACCCAAAAGATCTTAACCACTAAGTCACATCTCTTCTCCTTTTTTGTGTTTTATTTACACATAAGATCTTGCTGCATTGATTAGGGGCTCCATAAATTGCTTAGAATGACCTTAAACTCACAATCTTCCTGCCTCATCTTCTTGAGTTGCTGGGAATCTAGACATGTGCCATACACTCCTTGGAACCTTTTTTTAAAAAATTTATATTTGTTCTTTTTAGTTATACATGACAGTAGAGGGTAATTTGACATATTGTATATACATGGAGTATAACCTCCCAATTTTGTGGTTCTACATGATGTAGAGTTACACTGGTCATGTATTTATTTATAAGAATTTTGGAATCTTTTGATGATGTGAATTGGTTTGAATTTTGTTTCTGTCAGCTACAGGGTAAAGAATAGTTTTTGATACAGAGATTAATTCATTAAACCCTGGCTTCATTAGTGTCTATGGTAGAGTTACAGGAATTCAAGTTTAGGACAAAGACCCAGCTTAGTGTCAGGCACAAACAAGAGTTTTCAGCCCCCTGCAGAATTAGCCTACACCAAGTAGGATGTGGTAGTGCCCATGGAAGAGATGAGGGTAACAGTAAAGATTGCTGGACTTCACAGGCATGCAACTAAAATTGGTACCACATGGAAGGTGGTAGCCAGTCAGGGAACTCTAATATAGCTTCTCTCAAAAGCCCACTCAAATCACTAGAGATGTAGATAAGGGAGAAAACTTACTACTAAAACCGAATGCCAGAATCTGAGGGGAATCCTTGCTGTTTATAAGACAGAGAAGCTGGATGGAGGAAAAGCTATGAAGAATTGACCTCTTGAGTGAGAAGGGACTGGAAAAAAGAAAATACTTAGAACTTTGCCCAATGAGTTGCTTCTGACTCACAGGCAAACACTGTGAAAACTGATACTTGGGTTTTCATTCTGTTGGCTTGTTTAATGCTTTTATAGTATTTCCATGCTGCTTATGATATCTTCTGTACTTTTTCTTTAAATTTTTTACATTCTTCTATGTATAATAAATCTGAATAGCAGTTATTATTATTATTATTATTATGTGTGTGTGTGTGTGTGTGTGTGTGTTGCTAGGTATTGAACACAGGGTCAGGTAAGTGCTCTACTATTTAGCTATATCCCCAGCCCTACTGGTTACTTTTAAATATTACAAACAGTATCCTTTAACTTGCCTCTCCCTGAGAAACTTCAGACTCTCATTCCACAACCTCCTTTGAGGGGTTCTATACAGATGATTCACCATGCCTAGAGCCATATGACCATGTGATCTGTAGTAAAAATGGAACTGTTCATTGTAAGTCTTCAAACCTCCCTGTATCCATGTCCTTTGCTTTGCTATTTAATTGTCCCCCTGCCCACTGTCAACTCAGAAAGAGGTAGAATACAACTCCCACTATGTGGGAAGAATGTAAAGTGGGCATACTCAACAAGATACTGGTTCTGAGCCCAGGCCCAAAGAGATATTGTGTACTGCCACTTGCCACTATCACGGCCACGAGAAGAACATGCCTGAGTTAACTCACTGATTAAAAAAAAAAAAAAAAGTGCAATATACAATGAAGAGGTCTAGGTTGTAACCCGCCAAGATCAACCCACCTCCAACCAATCCAAGCACGGATAAGTGAAATAAATGCTTATGTTTGATTGTTACTAAGACCATGTGGGAGTTTTCCTTACACAGCGATAGCTGCCCAGCACAAACCCTATTATGCAGGCCACAGCTGACTGAGTGACAAACTAGTAGCTGATCTGCAGGCAGGCAAGCATGTAGCCAGAGCCTTAGGAGATTGCTGAAGTTGAGAGCTATGCTGAACAGAGGTACCCTGTCTGCATGATCACTCAGCAATTAACTGGATCTTCATTCATGGGAAATATGTCTGTGAGACAACCTGAGAGAGACATTAGAGAAGGAGTCCCCAAACTAACAAATGTATGAAGGAAGGCAGTGAGTAAATGCCACAAGGCAGTAGAATCACAAATGATCAGAAAGTGCAACAGGAGAATTGAATAGAGAGGTGCCATTCAGGAAGAGCGCAGGAGGAAGGAGCATGTGGACTGGGAGGCAGAGATGGAGAATCTGGGTCCTGGGGTGTGTGGGTGGGAGGTGGAAATGATGATAGAGCAGGGTCACCAGAACTAATGTTGAACTACAAGAGCAACTGTCCTATCCTGAATAGTGGGCCTTCCCAATGTAGAAGAGGGGTCCTGATGGACTAAGAGTGGGCCCTGAGCAGGTCACACATTTGTATTCAAGTTGATCACTAGTGAGTGTAAAAGATGAGACTTCTCTTTTTTTGGATTTGAGGCTTGAACCTAGGGCCACTTAACCCCTGAGCCATATTCCCAGACCTTTTAAACTGATACGGGATCTTGTTAAGTTGCTTAGGACTTCATTAAGTTGCTGAGTTTGGTCTCAATCTTGCAATCTTCTGTTTCAGCCTCTCTCTGAAGTTTCTGGCATTACAGGCATATGTCACTGCACCTGGCAAGATGGTATTTTGTCTGGGGACAAGGGTTCTCCAAGCCAGGTCTCACTCATACTAGGCAAACACTCTACCACTGAGTCACATCCCAGCCCAAGATGGTACCCCTTTTGAGGACAAGTAAAGAGAGAAGAAGTTAATTGTGTGTGGGGATGGTGGTCCACAGGTACTCATAATATTATTTTTATGCAACTCTGTGTGAATGAAATGTTAATAATGTTTCAAAACATTATAGGAGTTCTGAAATATTTCTTCAAAAGAAGGGGAGAACATATCATCCCAAAGACTAAAAGAAAGAGACAGATCTCTGAAGAAATATTTACTGTGGGATTTGGAAGAAATTTTCAGGAAATTTCATCACTGGGATTCTGCAAGTAAGAGCCAGAAAGAATGGCTGAAATGAAAAGGTGCTAGTAAAGTAGGTGTGGTGATGCACACTTGTGTCCCAGCAACTTGGAGGCTGGGGTAGGAGAATTGCCAGTTTGAGCCAGCCTGGTAATTTAGTGAGAACTTGTCTCAAAATTAAACAAAAAGGGATGGGGGTGTATGTAGCTCAATGGTGTGGTAAAGCACTTGAATCACAAATGATCAGAAAGTTCATGTGTGAGGGCATGTGTGAGGCCCTGGGTGCAATAATCTCCAGTAGTGAAAATAAATCAATAATAAAATTAACAGATAAAACGTAGTAACCATGCAATGGAAATAATCCTTTTCTTTTAAAAATTTCATTTTCCACCCTTGGAATGTCAAGTTTTTTGAGAGCATAGAAATCATAGGTCTTCTTTACCACTGTATTTCCTGCACAACTTAATAGCTCAGTAACTGTGAAAAAAAAAATAACAGGTTTGTGTGTGGGTGGGGGGTGGGGCTGCAAACAAGGTCAGGAGAACACCAACCTCAAAAGACTCTCACACACTCCTGCTGGCTTAGGGCATTAACTGAGCAGGGAGGGTTGGGGGTGGACTCAAAACCATTTATTCTAGGCAAGCCAGGGACTGTGGGGGCCAGGCAGGGGTCCAGGAGCATGTAAGTATAACCGGGCGGCCAGTGGAGTCTCAGTGAGCTGAGCTCTGCGGAAAAGAGAAAGTGAGTGAGGACGTAGCCAGGAGCAAGCCGGTCCCTCCACAACCCCACCTCACCCTGTCCCACCTTTTTCCTGCAATCGCCACAAATGACACCAACAGTAGCGTTCACCAGCTGTATGCCACACAGCACGATCTCCAGACAGGAGACAACCACCAGCAATGAGAAAAGCGACAAGTTCCAGAGAACCACGTTGGGTGGCTCCTCGCACAAATACCATTGAGTACGGTTGAACAAGTAAGCGCCTCTGTGGACAGGTGGGGTCAAGCGAGTAAAGAAGAGAACGTGGCGCCCCCCCTTCCCCTCCCCCTCCCCCACCCCCATCCCCGTACCCGCGCCCATTGGGATTTGCAAAGGGTTAGTTAGACCCACGTGGAGGGAAATCAGAAGCTCGGTGGCACCCAGGTTTCCCCGCCCACCTGGGGAGGCCATGGGAACGGTGAAATGCAGAGACTGAGGGGTCACGAACACAGGCTAAGCCTTACTCGGTTTCTYGGAAATGGTAGTCCCACTTGTCATCCGCTAAGCATTTGGGTCCAGTTTGGAGGCCAGCTCCTGACACGCCAAGGCAGTAGATGGCGCCAAGCACTCCAATGGCCGAGGAGAAGATAGAACGCAGCATCTGGACCGGGTGTGGAAGGTGGGCTGAATAGGGCCGCCCCATCCCCACTCGTGGCCCCACGGCGCCTAGCTCTGTCACCGCCCCCCCCCCCTCCCATGGCCAAACTCCTCTGGAGCCAGGTTAAAAACAGATTCCCAGAGCTGGGGATGCAGTCCTGTAAAAGAATGCTTGAAAATACATTTTCCTATAAACCCAGGACATGGAGTTAGGCAAAACTAAGGGCCAGCAGAAATTCATGAGGGTAAGGAATTCTACAGAGGATGCTGTGGCCCTGTGAGAGAGAACTAATCCTAAATCCTTCTTTTTTCTTGCAAGGAGAAGGGGTACTGGGGATTGAACCCCCCAGGAGTACTATACCACTGAGCTACATCCCCAGCCCTTCTTATTTCTTCTTGAAGAGAGAGAATCCAGTTAAATTGCTGAGGCTGTCCTCAAACTTGAGATCCTCCTGCCTCATTCTCCAGAGTCACTGGGATTACAGATGTGCACCACCACACATGGCCCAATTCTCTTTTTAATTTAGATCTCACCCTGCAGCGATTCCCGCAGCAGCCTGTTCCACAACAGCCCTTGCCCCCTGCCCGAACTGCAGCGATTCCTGGACACAGCACCTGTGGGACAAGAATCAGTGTGATAGTGTGAACCCTCCACCCCAGCCCAGATCCTCAAGGTCTTCACCTCCTATGGAAGCTGCCTATGGTGTCCTCAACCCTTTGGACTATAGGAAGATCTTATCTCTACCTGTCCTGGAGCGTGCCTATCTTAACAAAACTTTATTTATATGCCTATCTTACTCTGTCCATATTGTAGCTTCCTTGAGGGTTGGGTTCAATATTAAACAGTTCCTATAAATCTTGGCACATAGTAGTTGCCTTTCTTAATGAGAATCAGGAGGCCCTGGGTTGAGGGCCAGGCGCACATTATCTCACACTCGTGAACTGATTAGTTTCTTTGGGTCTCAATTTTGTCCAATGTAAAATGGGTTTGTAAAGCCTACCTCACTCACAGTGTTGTGCTTAGGATTGAATGAGATAACTGGTGGGCCTGGTGTCAAGACTGCTTTAGAGTAAATGCTCTTTAGCTATAAATGTCTTCAGCAGTGGGAAGAGGAAGTGGTGTTGGAAGGTCTGGTGAGCTAGGATATGGTGAGCTAGGATATGTGTTCACAAATGCTGTGATGTGGGTTGTGGGATTTCCTAAGATCCAGCCCCTAATCTTTTTTCTTCCTGTGACTTTTCTCACAAAGTCCATCCCCTCCCAGGGAATCAGCTACTCCCTCTGCCAATAGTCACCTCCACATGCCTGGAGATCCAAACCCAACTGCCTGAGGAAGGTGTTCAAATATCTTGGTTTTAGCTCAGATTCAGTCTCACAAGTGACCTCAAAATATTTTCCAAATAAATCTTCCTTTGATTTCCTCATCCTCATGATTGAAAAATATCATCCATCAGGTCACCTACAATGGAAAACTTTAATCCTTCTGCATCCAGCCAGACCTCAAGTCTTCTTGAGTTTTCCTTCAGTGGCTCCTGAATCTATCAGTCCTTTGTCCTTCTCCCCCATTCAGTTCCTAATCAGGTTCCATGAGGAAGATGTTCTTGGCCTCCCTACTAAATTCCCATAGCTCTTGCCCCATGCTGTTGCACACTTCATCCTTCATGCCACCACCAGATTAAACTTGGTCTTGCCGGGTGGGGTGGTGCACACTTGTGGCAGGTGGATGCAAATTCAAGGCCAGCCTTGGCAACTTATGGAGACCTTATCTCAAAATAGAAAATAAAGGGCTGGGGTTGTAGCTCAGAGGGAAAGGGCTCCTGGTTTTGATCACCGGGAGCAGGGACTTCTTCAGTTGGTTTTCTTTCTGCTGAAGTCCTTCAGAGAGGATCCTCTCAATACTGAATCCTAGCAAGTCCTTTGAGGCTCCTCACTCTGCCTTTAGCCTTGTCATTGTCTTCATAGCCCAGGCCAGGTTCTTTGTTCATCTCCCATCCCTGGAATTCATCGGCTGTTTTGATCCTTCCTTCCTGTTGGTTTTGTCTGGCATACACCATACAAGGCAGCGTTTTGTTCTTTTGCAGGGAAGGGACTGAGAGTTTTAGTTCTGTTTTATCATCCCCAGCAACCACAGAGAAGCACTAATGCATTGATTATTTGCAATAATGAGTAGAACCAAATTTCCACCAGCACTCTCACTCCCCTCCTCCTATGTCCTGGCAGATCCAGGGCCAGTGCTGACCCCCATTTCTTACCCTCTCTGGTGAGATCAATTACTGGGAGTTTCCAGGATCCAAAGATACCTAGAATTGTCTCTGGTTTTACTAATGTGTGTGTGTGTGTGTGTGTGTGTGTGTGTGTGTGTGTTTCTGGAAATCGAATCCAGGGCATTGCCATGCTAGGCAAGTGCTCTACCACTGAGTTACAGCCCCAACCCAGATTTACCCATTTCAAATGACCCACCTGTTTGAGAATATTACTTTTGGTCAAAGTATTTGCTTCCTTTGGTGGTCTAAACTTCCCTCTCTTGTTCTCTGCCATCTAATTGTCTTCATGAAAAGAGAACTGTCATCATAAATTCAGGAGACAACACTGTTTATAGCTCAAATCTGCTCACTTTTCTCTATTACCATGGCCACTGGGCTATTTCAAGATACTGTCATCCCTCCATGACATTAGTCTCATCTTTCTGCATCTATGGCTAAGCTCCTGCTATCAATTCTCCACACTAATGCCAGAGGGATCTACTTCAATCCAGTGATGTGTGGAGCAACTACAACTCTCACACTGTGCTGATAGGAATGAATTGATACAAAAACTCCAGCAAACTATTTGCCAGTGTTAGCACTGACTATTGCAAACCTTAAGAGTCAGCAGTGTTACTTCTAAGAGTAACAATGGAAATAAACACATATGTTCACCTAAGGCACCTACCGGAAGGATGATGTCAACATTATTTGCAAAAAACCCAAACTGGGAACTGCCCAATGTAGAGTGTAATTTAAATTGAACCAAGAATAGAGTGTAATTTAAATTGAAGTATGTTCACATGACAGAATGCATAAGAAATTAAAATCTTGAGCTACACAAAGTAACATAGATGGCTCTCACAAATATTACGCTAAAGAAGCCAGACACAAAAGAACACAGTGTATGATTTCATTTCAAATAGATTACTGAAGAGGTCAAAGTAGTTTCTGGGGTTAGAAGACAGAATAATGGTTACCCTTGTTGGTGGGGGTAGTACCTGGTGAGAGGCATGTGAAGGATTCTGGTAATACATGACCTGTATTTTTTTACTCACTTGTTTTATGAGATGGGTTTTTGCCATTTTATCCAAGTTGACCTGGAACTCCTAGTCTCAGCCTCAAGATCCTCCTGCTTTAGCCTCCTGGGTAGCTGGGACTATAGTGCGTGAATTAACAGTTTTTTTGATCTGGGTGCTGGGTATGTGGATATGTCCGCTTAGTAAAAATTCATTGTGCTGGGGTTGGGGATGTAGGGCATGTACTTAGCATTCACAACCCCTGAGTTCAATCCCCAGTGATTGTGGGTCCCCCACAAATAACCGCCTCCCCCCCAAAAAAAATCACCCAAAACAAAAATCCCCAACTTCTTCCCTAGGAGCTCTTAATGATAACTTGCTTTTCCTTCCTTCCTTCCTTCCTTCCTTCCTTCCTTCCTTCCTTCCTTCCTTCCTTCCTTCCTCCCAACAACCCAGGGCACTGTGCCACTGAGCTACATCCACAGCACAGCATGCACTGTAAGCTCTCTCTTTCTCCATGTGTGTATATGTATATGGAGAGAGAAAAATTCGAATATATATATATATATATATATATATATATTCAACCATATATATTAGGGCAGGGTAATAATAGGTATGAGGGGTACATATCTCATACCTTTTCCAGGATGGACTCAAACTTATTATTTTCTTCTCTCTCTCTCTCTCTCTCTCTCTCTCTCTCTCTCCCTCCCTCCCTCCCTCCCTCCCTCTCTCTTTTTTTGTGGTACTGGCAATTGTACCCAATGATACTCTCCACTGAGACTTATCCCAGTCCTTTTTAAATTTTTTTATTTCCCAGGCTGGTCTCAAACTTGGATTCTCCTGCCTCAGCCTCCTAAGTATCTGGGATTACAGGCATGTGTCACTGCACCTGGCATTACCTTCCTTCTGAGTAAGTGGTATTGTAGGCTTGTCTACCATGCCTGGTTAGCTTGTGGTCTCCTCCTCTCTGTTTCTGTGTGTGTGTGTGTGTGTGTGTGTGTGTGTGTGTGTGTGTGTATTCTCTCTCCCTCCCTGACTCCCTCCCTCTGTCTTGCTCTCTCTTCTTTGCAGTAGTGCTGGGGATCAAACCCAGTGTCTCACACATGCTAAGTAAGTGCTCTACCTCTGAGCTATACCTCCAGCCCTATATATTTTTATTTTTGATGGCACCCACTCCTGTCTGAAATCATCTTGCAGACTACTTCCTTCATTCAGTGACTATTAACACAGTTCCTGTTGGGTGAAGTCACTGGTCTAGGCACCAGGCACACAGCAACCAACAGAACAGGCAGTCCTTGCTCTCATGGGGCTTCTGGTCTTGCTTCCTTGACACCATTTGACCCACAAAGGAACAGAAGCTTCAAAGGGAGTAGGGATCTTGTCTGTGTCCCTGTGGCATCATGTGATACTTCCTGGGAGTGACTTATTCCCAGTGCATGCTCCCCCACCCCCCAAAAATAAAAGCAAAACACAGAAATCCCCAACTTCTTCCATAGGAGCTCTTTATGATAGCTTTCTTTTCCTTCCTTCCTTCCTTCCTTCCTTCCTTCCTTCCTTCCTTCCTTCCTTCCTTCCTTCCTTCCTATAACCCAGGGCAGCTATGAATGAGACTATTGGAAGCACATCCTTGGAGATCACCCCTGAAGAAGAGTAGTTAGGCTGGGTGGAGAAGTGGGGGATAGTTTAGGTGGAGAAGGGACATGATGTGACACTGAGCAAGTGTGTAGCCTTGGGGGAGTGTGACATCTCAGAGAGAGTTCAGGTCAGAGAGCTGGAGTAGAGTCCATCAGCCATAAATCCATGCAACAGATGGGGAGTAGAAGAGACCTCAAAAGGTAAGAAAGAGTTGCTAGGTAAAGGAGAGGTACCCGCTTAGCTAATAGAGGTGTGACCTGGAAAAGGGATGAGKTGAGACCCCTTCTAGAGAAAGTTGTCAGTCAGCAGTCCTGGAAAGAGGGAACCTATGCTGGGTAGATGTCTCATCTTTACCCCACAAAAATATGACACTAGTTGACCATCTAAAACTTTCTCTAAATGAGGAAAGAGTTAGAGGAGTAGATCCAGGAAGTCTGCGCCCCCTCTTCTTCCACTTCTCCCAGCAGGTCCTCATCTCCAAGAAGCCTTGGAGGCAACTTCTCTGCCCTACTGACCTGCTTCTGAGTTTACTCTTAGCACCCAGCACAGAGTGAGCATCCAGAATGTGGGCTGAGAGTGAGTGGATGTGGAGGAGGGAAGGACAGCACTGAGCTGATAGGTATTGTGACTGATGGGTGACATCACTGCCTGACTCCAGACCTTCTTGCTGTACCCCTCATACCTATTATCACCCTGCCCTGATGACCTCCCACACAACTAGCTGCTCCTTCTTGTTCTACCCTTGTAGTGAGAGGTCCCCAACATCTGCTCAGCCACAGAGGCAGGGAGGGTCAGGTAGGACATGCTTTGACCCAGAAGGGAAGCTCTTTAGAGACTTGAGCCTCCCCTCCCTGCCTTCCCCCTCCCTTCAGGCATTCAGCTCAGGTCTTTGGGGGCTCCTCTAGGGCTGTCTACAGAGTGCTGAGTGTGTAGGGGAAGGACTGGGCACATTCCTTGTCCCCACCAAGCACTTGCCATTCCCTCTGAAGCACCATCCTTTTTCCTCTCCCCTTGATTCCCACTCAGAACCCCTCACAGGGATGCCCAGGCCCCTGGCCACTGGCTTATGCTTTATTCTCACCATCAATCCCCCGCCGATGAAGCCAGCCATGAGCAAGACTTGCAAGCTGAGTTGGTTAGTGCTCCAGGTCTTCCCATCAGGCACCAATAGGAGAGCATTGGCCACAATACAGACTAGGGAAAGAGATATTAGAGAGAGCCCCACACAGCGGGAACACTTCCCCGTGCACATGGCGGGCAGTGAGTGAAAGTGAGCCGGAGGTTCCTGGGTCCAAAGGAAAACAGGCTGGAGCGTGAGCAAAGGTCAGAGAAGAGGTGTGGTAGAAACTGGCAGGATTAGGATGATAAGGGAGAGAGGCCCTGAGGAGGTGGAAGCTTTGGGGCTGCAGCTGGTGAGATGACGGGGAGAAGGTAGTGATGGAGCAGTTGGGGGAAGTAGTCACACCTTTGGACGTTGCCTGGCATCAGTTTCTTCTATTTCTGAGCATGCCTCTCCATAGTCCTTTCTTTGATTCCTTAACCTGTTTGAAGACTTGACCAAGCCATCTCATGTCTTTAAGTCACAATTGCCTCATCTCTATAAAGGGTAGAGTGATATACCACTTTTCTCCTGAGCAGGCTGTAAGGATTCCTTAGGACAAGGGAGGTATTTTGTAAACTAGGCAGCACAAGGAGGTGTACAGTGGCCTCATCATTTCCATCACACAGTCAGTGTTCCTCCTAGAAAGAAATGAAAAAGATGACAGGCTTCAGTTGTCTTTTTATTTCATATTTTTTACATTTGTTTTTTGATCCCGTCTCCTTTTGCGACTATTACCTATTTCTCTGGTGAATTCGAGATTGAGGCTTGATTTGATAGTGTTGCAGGAAACAGACTGATAGAAAAGCAGCAAGCAGCACTGGGAGTCAAGGAAAACTCCAAACTTTTTTTTTACGCCAGTGCACCCAGAGGAAAACAAATTCTGAGCCCTGGTCCACAGGTTTTTTGTTTGTTTGTTTGGTTTTTTTTTTTTTTTTTTGATCCACAGTTTGTTTGTTTTTTTAACAACATTATTATTGTGGTTATTTGGCATCATCTTAGACCTCTCCTATCTTTGGGACTTTTTTCCTCTTTTAAAAAACATTCCTTGGGGCTGGGGATGTGGCTCAAGCGGTAGTGCACTCGCCTGGCATGCATGGGGTACTGGGTTTGATCCTCAGCACCACATAAAAATAAAATAAAGATGTTGTGTCCACCGAAAACTAAAAAATAAGTATTAAAGAAACTCACTCTCTCTCTCTCTCTCTCTCTCTCTCTCTCTCTCTCTCTCTCAAAACAACAACAAAAAAATTCCTAATCTATGTGGCTGAAGGCCATGTGCAGGGTCTCCAACATCAAGCATGGTTACAGAAACAGATTAGAAGAAATGGCTCTTTTCACAGGCATTTGTTATATTTCAAGAGGAAGTAGTAGGACTTCCAGGGCAGTTATTTACAATCCAAAAGGTATTGACCCCTGGTTAATTAGGCTTCCTGGAGAAATGCTGAGAGTGGGGAGAGGAACTGACCCTTTCCCCAGGCATTGGTTTCTGACCGTAATGTTTGCATAATCTCATTTCACAACCAGGTCTGGTTTTGCCATCACATTAGAACATTCCATCCTCTGGCCTCAACGTTTGACTCAATGATTGCTGTACAATCCAAGCCAGTTCTGTGAAGAATCCATCTTTAAATTGATTTGTGGTATTGTTCAAAGAAATTTTTTTTTTTGAGACACTGAGGTTGCTGGTGGCCTGTTTTCACCATGAGGAAGGAAGGGCCTGCCTGTTTGTACAGGAAGTCAATCCAGAGGAAAGAACAATTGAGAGGTAGAGAGAGGTGTAATCACTTCATTTGAATCTGCAGACCAGCCATGTCTGAAGCCTGATTACTCTTGAAACCATTTTTTTTCTTTTTTTTTTTTTTTTTTTTTGTACTGGGGATTGAACTAAGGGGTGCTTAACTACTGAACCACATCTCTAGTCCTTTTTTTTTTTTTTTAGTTATACATGGACACAATATCTTTATTTTGTTTATTTATTTTTATGTGGTGTTGAGGATAGAACCCAGGGTCTCACACTTGCAAAATGAGTGCTCTACTGCTGAGCCACAACCCTAACCCTCATTTTTTTTTTTTTTGTATTTTATTTAGAGATAGGGTCTTCCCGAGTTGCTTATGGCCTAGCTAAGTTGCAAAGGCTGACTTTGAACTCACCACCCTCATGCCTGAGCCACTGGAATTATAAGCGTGAGCCACTGTGCCTGGCAGTCCTTGGAACCTTTTGATGATGTGAACCGGTTTGGGTTGTGTTTATGTCAGCTACAATGTAAAGAATAGTTTTTGATACAGAGATTTAATTCATCAAACCTTGATTTCATTCAGGCCTATGGTAGAGGGATGGGGATTCTCAGTTAATGATCGAGACCCAGCTTAGTCTCAGACACAAATAGGAATGTGCAGCCCCCCACAGAAGTAGCCTACACCTAAGTAGGAAATGGTAGTGCCCATGGAAAAAATGAGCATAGCACTAAGCACCACAGAATTTCACAGGGCATGCATTAAAAAGCGGTACCACAAGGAAAGTGGGAGCCAGTTGGGGACTTTTGATATAGCTTCTCCCAAAGGCCCACTCAAAACACTAGAGAGACATGAATGGTGGAGAAACTTACTGCTAACCTGTACACCAGAATCTAAGGGGAATCCTTGCTGTTTGTAAGACAGAGAAGCTGGGTGAGGGGAAAAGCTATGAAGAATTGTCCTCTTGAATGAGAGGACGCCTGAAAAAAAGAAAATACTTTGAACTTTCCCCAACAGCTTGCCTCTGACTCATAGGCAATTATTGTGGTAACTGATATTTGGATTTGCTTATGTTGGCTTGTTTAATGATTTTAAAATATTTCCATGCTGCTTCTGATATCTTCTGTTCTATTTCTTTAAAGTTTTTACTTTCTCCTGTGTTTTAGAAGACCTATTTAAAATCTGAATAGCAGTTATTTTATTTATTATTATTATCACTTGTGAGTGTGTGTGTGTGTGTGTGTGTGTGTTGCTGAGGATTGAACCCGGTAAGTGCTCTACTACGGAGCTATATCCCCAGCCCCCTAGTGGTTACTTTTAAATATTGCAAACAGTGTCCTTTAACTTGCCTCTCCCTGAGAAACTTCAGACTCTCATTCCACAGCCTCCTTTGAGGGGTTCTATTCAGATGTTTCACCTTGCCTGGAGCCATATGACCATGTGATCTGTAGTAAAAATGGAACTGTTCATTGCAAGTCCTCAAACTTCCCTGTATCCATGTCCTTTGCTAAAAAATTTAGTTGTTCCCCTGCCCACTGTCAACTCAGAAAGAGGAAGAATATACCTCCCACCATATGGGCAGAAAGTAGAGTAGGCATAATCGACAAGATACTGGTTTTGAGCCTAGGCCTGAAGAGGTATTATGTGTTGCCACTTGCCACTATCATGGCCATGAGAAGAACAGGCCTGAGTTAACCCACTGATAAAAACAAAGTGCAAGATTCAAGGAAAGGTCCAGGTTGGATCCCAGCCAAGATCAGCCCATCTCCAACCAATCCATGCACAAGTAAGTGAAATAAATGCTTATATTTGTATGCTACTAAGACCTGGGAGTTTTCTTTATACAGCAATAGCTGCCTAGCACAAACCTGATTATACAGGCCACAGCTGACTGTGTCACAAACTAGTAGCTGATCCACAGACAGGCAAGCATGTAGCCAGAGACTTAGGAGATTGCTGAAGGTGAGAGCCCTGCTGAACAGAGGTACCCTGTCTGCATGATCATGAGTACGTGTGGGCCATCCTGCCAAACTTAATTAATTTTTTCTCTCATTACTTGTCCTCAAGCAGACTCTATTATGGTCTAACTAACTAAATGGATCTTCACTCATGGGAAATATGTCTGTGAGACAACCTGAGAGAGACAGAGAAGAAGGAGTTCCCCAAACTGAACAATGTATGAAGGAAGGCAGTGAGAAGAAGCCACGAGGCAACAGAAACCACAAATGATCAGAGGGTGCAGCAAGAGAATTGAGTAGAGAGGTGCCATTCAGGAAGAGTGCGGGAGGAAGGAGCCTGAGGACCCGGAGGCAGAGATGGAGAATCTGGGTCTGGGGCAGCGGGTGGTAGTGATGATGCTGAAGGTAGAGCAGGGTCACCAGAACTAATGTCGAACTACTAGAGCAACTGTCCTGTCCTGAATAGTGGGCTTTCCCAATATAGACCTGAAAAGGGGATTCGGCCTTTGGACCTGATGGACTAAGAGTGGGCCATGAACAGGCAACTTATTTGCAATCAACACACAAGTTGATCACTAATGAGTCTGAGAGAGGTACTTTTTTTATGTATTTTTTTTTAGTTGATGATTGAAGTAGGACCACTTAACCACTGAGCTTTTTGTTTTTCCCCCCAGAACTTAAAAAAAAAATTTTTTTTTTTGAGATCAAGGTCTTCTAAAGTTGCTTAAAGCCTCACTAAGTTGCTGAGGTCTCAAACTTGCAATCCTCCTGTCTCAGCCTCCTTCCCAAGTTGCTGGGATTTCAGATGTGCATCACCATACCTGGCAAGATGGTAGGACAAGGGTCCTTAAAGTCAGGGTCTCATACATATTAGGCAAGCCCTCTACCATTGAACCATATCCCCAGCCCAAGTTGGTACTTCTTTTGAGGACAAGTAATGAGAGAAAAAAATTAATTTTGTTTAGCAGGATGGTCCACACGTACTCATTGTATTATTTTTATGCAACTCTGGATGGATGAAATAATGTGAATAATGTTTCAAGACATTATAGGAGGTCTGAAATTTTTTTCTTCAAAACAAGGAGAGAGCACATCATCCCAAAGACTAAAAGGAAGAGACAGATCTCTGAAAAAATATTTACTGTGGCATTTGGAAAATTTTCAGGAAGGTTTTCAGTGACATCATTAGGATTCTTCCAGTAAGAGCCAGAAAGAATGACTAAGATGAAAAGGTGCTACTAAACTAGATGTGGTGGTGCACACTTGTAGTCCAGCTACTTGGGAAGCTGAGGCAGAAGGTTTACAAATTTGAGGCCAGCCTCAACAATTTAGCAAGACCCTGTCTCAATATAAAAAATAAAATGGACCAGAGGACATAGCTCAGTGTTAGAGCACTTGCCAAGAATACATGAGGCCCTGGGTTTGATCTTCAGTACCACAAAATAAATTAATAAATAA